AATGACAGAGTTCCTCAAGGATGGCGTTTCACGGCGTACTGTGTCGTGCCATTGCTCCGTTTGTTTCGGTGACAAGTCATACAGGTGGTCACCTCTCAATGACCTTTGACCACCTGCAGTGCCACATGCATCTCGCATCGTCACTCCTTGCTCCTGATTGCCTGGGCACATTAAAGTAGGCCACGACTCGATGGTATCTAATCATGTACGATGACAGACTTCCGGGGGGGGGAGGGTGGGTGAGTATATTTGTCCGCATTAATAAGCCGGCCTAAGACCATATTTTCGTCAGGCTGTACCTGAACTATGTTGTCGTTCAATGCGGCCGGTGCATCGTATATTAAGTAGCTGCCTAAAATAATTCACTGTTGATTAGGCGTCGTTACGCGAAACCGTCATGTACCGAAGTTCAGAAAGCACATGATCGCCAGTATGCTGTAGCGATGGATGCGTCGCGCTGGGTCGAACAGCGGGATTCTCGAGTATTTGCGGATCAGCTCGTCGTGGATCGATGACGTGCCAATGGACGGGTCGACCGACACCTTCCTGGACATCATTTCGTTGTTGCCACCGTCGTCCGTCATCATGTAATGACGAAAACCTCGTTGGTTCTCGAGCTTGGTTCGATCCGGCCGGTTCGGATGGACTTAAGACTTACGCGTGCGGGGTCCGTCTGCAAGGTTGTTGACCGATGTCTGGACGACGAAGAAGAACACCGTACATAGCGAACGCGGGCCGTAGGCATCTACGACTGTAGCATCGACGACGATATCCACGACAGCAAGCTGCAAGCATTCAAGATAAGGTATATAAATCTAGAATTATGTCAACAAAAACTTTTCGCACTTAACTTATGCCCTTACGCCATCATCAGATGCAAGTTTTTAGGTCGGAATTCGGTGTCAACCGGCAAACGGGGCCGCAGCACGTTCATTCGGAAACCTGGCCATTTTGAGAGTTCTAAGAACGAAAAAACCAAACAGCAGAATTTGCACCGTTGCAAATTATCACACTGGCTAGTCACCTCTCACGAGCATTAAGGCGTGTTGCAGACTGGAAGGACACTGGCATTAGACGGCATTGCCGTACATCTCGGATATTTGATGCGACCATACCAGAACTCCGCGCTGTTTCAGTTTTTTCAACTAAACGACTTGCCACCTGTCTCTACGCTGGTTGCATCGAAGAAACGTGGGACGAACCGCTTGCTCAAGGAATCAGGAATTAGGGACATTTTTATCCTTCGGGATTTGAACCTGCTACCTCCGGAGTTAAAGGTCCCTGTCTTATCAATCTTTCAAGTATCACCGTCCAGTCAAAGTTCCCTGTTCCTTCTGTTGCTTTGATTGACTGCACGAACGGTATTGTGGTGGGCTGTTTTCAATTGTGTAATAGGCTGTTGCAAATACATCCCCAAGATGAACTCCAACCTTCCCTGATTCTTTTTCACCCTATGCGCCAGGGTCTTCTTCATAACTTAGAGTAGTTAAGATGCCCTCCACTTGACCAGAACTGAAATGATACCTTCTTTGAAGTTTTTATGAGCTTCATCGACCTTTCCATTTCCTGACTGAACACGAAAGATGGAATTACAATGATTCATTACCTCCTATTGATAAGCCAACCTAGTCGTTTCCTCATATCTTGGTCTGTCAAGATCGAGAAATGTGTTTCAACCAGATGACGTCTATGCGACAGGGCTGATTTTTGACGGAGTTCCTTTATGACCGCATAGGGATCAGAGTCAAAGCAGGTTCACGCTTGATGACACGTTTCGAGTAAAGAGTTGGCCATTTATGGCTGATGAAGTCGTGATCCAATTTGGTATTTAGGCTTCCATCAGGAAACGTTCAGGCGGCTCGGTGAATCCGCTTACGGAGGAACTCCTGACCTCCTGGCGCTTAACCTCTTGACTATCGCATCTATCATAGGCAATAGTATCAGTACATTCATAGAGAACCTCTTGTATATTTGTTTAAGTTTCTACGCCGGTTTCTCAAGTTGATAGCACGTAATAGCCGCTTAGATTATGAAGTTATCGTCAGAGGACCCGTACAGCGCATCCCATTGACTACTTTTGCGTACCAAGATTATCTCCGGCACAATCGTTTCGGTTCTGTCGTTTCATGTTCTCATGTATCCTGGCACAAGATCACAAATAACGAATATGTTCTGTCGGTTATAACTGAGACGAAATTCAGTCATTCCTGCTTTGGCTAGCATCGTGAAGGATTCATCGTCGCTTACTGATGGGCAAACTATAAACAGCTACTTAATATGCCTGCCGCTTGAAGCATATTTAAGAATTTCGCTATTTGTTGTTGTTGCTCGTTTATGTTGAGTGACATGACCATGTTCTGCATATACATGCAGCCAAATACTTTCAGTCACCAGAATAGGGTCTCGCCGACGAATAATGTGCTTTTCGCTTAAAAACTTAGCATACGCCTGCAGTTATTATTTGTGTCATGAACGCCGTTATGGTCGTGTACGCCTAGTCATGCACTACAGTTGGCATCATTCTTCGCCTGAAGGTGGCAAATGTGACACATAAAGCGATCTATCGCTGGCAAATGACTTCAAGCAGTTATAAAAAACATCTTCATTATCACCTGACACACTTGTCGACACATTAGCGATAACGACATTCACTTTCGCCTGTTTTAATATTCGCCTCATAAACAAGGACCCTCTTCTACAACCGTTTTGCATGAATAACTGCACGGTTTATCCTGGATGAAAGGCGGATATTTTCCCGCCATCAAATTGGCCATCCATTTTGCAGCTGAAGCTTCCCCTTCCCAGGAAGGCGCACGCAGATGCATCGACTTTGCACCGTTGGGTCATACGGTAGAGATCATCCAATCCAGCATGTGAAACATGCTTCTTCTAGCATCAGCAGTTGGCACACCAGATTTCTTGGCTCTCGGGCCAATTGTGAGCATGGACAACTTGCTGCTATTTTCGCGAGAGTACGAAGTTTCACCGCCGCTCTGTCGGAAGCCAAACGGACTACGTGTAAATGACGGGATAAGTTCAAAACTTTAGATAAAAAAGTGCAAAGCTGTAAAAAACTTAAAATGGCAAAAAATTAATATACCCTCTTACGAAAAGCGCGATACTGAAACTTTATGAGCTGAATTTCTCCTGCCTTGATTTTTAAATAAACATATGTACACTGGGCCGGAATTCTGAAAGGTAAGCGAACGGAATATTGCAAAACAGACGTTTAATGGCAGGTTCCTTTGCGGTCCCATCGATGAGGTAGAGTCTAGGATTTTAGTATCCACCATTAAACGAAAGCTTTCACCTGACGTCATTAATTTTCTTACTGTGACTGTTTATATGGGAAAGAGTATGGCACATTTTTTGACCCAATTAGACTTCTCTTGGAGATCTTTCGAACATTTCTTCCTCGAGCTAGCCAGACTTATCGTGTTTTGCATTTCATTGTGACTGGACTTGGTACTGCGAAATATACTACCTTCTCACATTGCGATGAACACAATTCTATGAAAGTCAGAACGCCGAATATGCCTTTTATGCAAATTTGGATTACAGGTCTTAAAGTAGTAAGTTCATGTAAAAGGGAGATGGTATATCGGTATTTGACAATTCTACCGTATCGCTCGACTAACGTTAGAGAGAAAAAGCCGATGACGAACTTTGCATGTATCTTGACTTTGGTTATAATATTTCAAGTTAAGCTGACTTTGGTTCAAGTTCTGAGCTTCTTCGTCTTCCAGAACCGCAGTTGGGGCATAGGTTTATATGATTTTTATTCAATGATTTTTTCTAAATATTTTTGTAAAAGGAAGCCGGCGCGATTCGAGGCGAATTCGCACTTCCGACGATCGATGTTCATTTTTTGAATGTGAAAAATGCAACGCCACCGGCACTTCGTAGACCTTCGGTTGCATCAAGCATTATGGTTGAACCATCCTTTTCGCCTTTTGAGATTTTGACGTCAATTGCGCAGTTTCCTATTTTCTCACTCAGGCCCAAAATGTCGTACTCAATTTTTTTTGCGCGTGGGTTAATTGATGGACAGATCTTCTCCATTTAGCTTTCGACAGTTGTACCTGTAAATATGAATGCCTATCAGATTATCAGACAATATATGAAACTGTGACGTAATCGAATACAGTAGAACTATGATAATGTTACTATAAGAGAATTTTAATTTTTAAAATAAAACGAGTAATATTTAGTGGTCACTGGCGCACTCTGCCTTTTAGGCTCTAAATGAACTCTTCTACGGCTAATCTACTTGCCTGCGAAACTTGAACTCTACAACGACGTTAACATTGAAGATGGTGAGAGTTTGCTTAAATGTGTAAAATGTCGTACTGCCAACCATTCATTCTCACATTGCTGTTATAATTGGTATCCTATCTACGGTTATACGTTTAC